AACAAGACAAAAAGGGGAAGAAGCTCTTGTGCTCAGTAGTGTACAGCACTGTATTGTAGCTCAACTCCTTTTGGGGTAAAAAACAACAACAACCCACCCTCATTCAGGAGCCTGAAAAACCTGAAAATCCTTAGCATCAAAACACCTGGTTCTTAAAATCGAAGCAGCTGAAGAAAGAGCTTATGAAAGAGCTTGAAAAGGTAGTAGAGCAAAAACTAAAATAAAATCTCTCTCCACATCTGTGTTAAACTTCTGATCCAGAGAAAGACCTCCATTAGCACATCTGCACCAGCACAATATGACAGGGGAGCTTGCTCCTCAGGAGAAGAAGAGCGTTGATAAGGTTGGAATGAGCTGCAGAATTGGCCTTGCCTCCATGGTTAACTCACCCTAATGACATTGTGGGAAATGATTCACATTCCACTGTGCTGATGTGCAAAGGGAGCTTTAGTCATGCTTATGCACAGCTGCTGGGGGAGACCACGCAGTGGCCAGGAATGCCATATCATCAGTAGGATGATAGCACCCATTTCTATTTTAATTTTCCATCAAAATCAGGAAGATCACAGGGAACATCCTTAAATGACTGTCTGGGTATGATTATGGGCTGAATGGGTTTAACAAATTGAGATGCAATCATTTGATGATGGTATGAGAGATGAAGCTAGTGAAGGATGCTGCTGCTTGCCTCTTCACTGAGCAAATTGGCTATTTTGAATATTGATATTGTGAGCCACCTTGAGAGTGAGGGAATAGGTTGTATGTTTTTTTTTAAAAAAGGCTGATCGCCGAAGAATTGATGCTTTTGAATTATGGTGTTGGAGGAGACTCTTGAGAGTCCCATGGACTGCAAGAAGATCAAACCTCTCCATTCTTAAGGAAATCAGCCCTGAGTGCTCACTGGAAGGACAAATCCTGAAGCTGAGGCTCCAATACTTTGGCCACCTCATGAGAAGAGAAGATTCCCTGGAAAAGAACCTGATGCTGGGAAAGATGGAGGGCACAAGGACAAGGGGATCACAGAGGACGAGATGGTTGGACAGTGTTCTCGAAGCTACCAGCATGAGTCTGACCAAACTGTGGGAGGCAGTGGAAGACAGCAGTGCCTGGCGTGCTCTGGTCCATGGGGTCACGAAGAGTCGGACATAACTAAACATCAACAAGAACAATACACACATACATGGATCTCATAGATGGATCTCCAACAGTTTGGATTTGGAAGAAGGGGGATAAAATTCCCAGAAATTTTCTCAGAAAACTCATTTGACAAATTGTGGGGGGATCTCTAAATGCTGAATGAAATTCTGTCAGCCCATTGCTTCCTTCATCCACCACTATGAGTTAACAGAGGAGCAAAAGGAGAAGGAACCAAGACTTCCAATCACTTTCAAAGCAGGACTAAACTTATCACCCATCATCTGGTGCAGCTGATCCCTGCAAAAACCAGGCTTGATCTCCCCACCGAAGTTCAATCCTTCTTGGTTGGGCTGCATGAGTGAGTTCCCCTTAGAAAGCAGGATTGAACTCACTGCCCACCAACTGATGTGAGGGGATGTCATTCCTGGTTGGTTTAGACATCAAATGATTGACAGTTGGGTGATCTCTTCCACCTGTCAAAATTGGCTCATGGGGGCAAGGGATATAAATATATAGGACTCACCAGGTCAATCCATCTGTCAGATAAAAGTATCTGAAACAGGATGGCTGCCCCTCTGAGTGCTGACCAGACCCATATTTGCTGGGCTTCAACAAACTTACTTTACCATGCACCTGGGACCTTCAGTGGGACAAGTTAGTTGCAACTACCTGCAAGTCCTGTTGATTTCATCAACACCAAGATGCAACTAATTTTCAAAGTTCATGTTAATTCAGTTTCATTGAGGGGAGGGGGAATCTTGTTCAAATCAAACAACAGTTTTGTGCCCCAGTTCTTTATCACCATGCCTTCTGTTATGGAAATCTGAGGATGCCAAACACTATAGACACTATAGAGAGCCAGTGTGGTGTAGTGGCTAAGAGCGGTAGTCTCGTAATCTGGGGAACCGGGTTCGCGTCTCCGCTCCTTCACATGCAGCTGCTGGGTGACCTTGGGCTAGTCACACTTCTCTGAAGTCTCTCAGCCCCACTCACCTCACAGAGTGTTTGTTGTGGGGGAGGAAGGGAAAGGAGAATGTTAGCCGCTTTGAGACTCCTTAAAGGGAGTGAAAGGCGGGATATCAAATCCAAACTCTTCTTCTATAAACTACACAGAGTGTTTCTTATATGACCCTGACTTGTTCTGAAATAAGGAACACCACACAGTTAAATAAGGGACTGGACCATCAATGTAACTTGCATTGATGCTCCTGCTTGTTCATCTGTATCCAAGATGGTACATTGCAGACACCTGCACCAGTATCACATCTTCTATATTTCCTAGAGACATTTTGTGAATAAAAACCATCTTCACGGAATCATTCTTTGAGCTTCATGTTCTCTGTAATATATTAAATAAGCGTCCCTCACTTCCACCCTGGGGCTTTCCTTGTTGAGGATCCAAGACAAAGATGTAAAGTCGCCTCCCATCCAACTCCTTTGTAGCCCGTGGAGCAAGTTTGCCTTTTCTCCTTGGTGGTCACAATTAGGAGTTCTTGTCTCAAAGCTTTTGTTCCTCTCTCTCCAACTTTCCAACATGATCAGTGTCATCCAGGCAATTAGGCACTCACATTTACAAATTCTACCCAAAGAACACTTTGCTAATGATGAAAAGCAGATATGAAGTGATAGCAGAATGCTGTGTGTGTGTGTGTGTGTGTGTGTGTGTGTGTGTGTGTGTGGTGCAGCAACTACACTCAGTGTTTCTATGACAACATTCAATGGCACCATACTTCAAAAGCATTGTACCTTTTCTTTGGTTTGTGAATTGATCCTCCACTTTATCTGAAGCCAAGGTTTGCTTTCATTGCTTTTCTTTGCGTTTATTGATGAACCATCATCTCACTTCCATTATCTTTGTCGCATCCCCAGTTAGAGTGACCTTGAGTCTGCAACACTGATCAGCAGTCATTTCACAATGACAGGGGAGGATTCAACAGAGTGACTGGGAGGCAGACTTTTTATTAGAGACAAGTGTAAATGTTTCCTTTATAGGACTTGGCAATGATATTTATGCCTTTGCTTATCATAGCTGTACTAGAGAGATATCATCTTAGCTTTAATAATGCTGCTGAGGCCTGCCAAAGCCATTCACCCTTAAGAAGGGAACTGGTTTGACCAATTCATGATGTTCACTCTTGTAGATTCTAATGTCACAGATCTGGAATCACAGGTCTGGAAGGGATCCATAGCTACCATCCAGGCCAGCCCCTGAGTCTATAACAATATGCATTTTTGCAAGCAATTACCCCTTAAACGTGGGTAACGGGACGCGGGTGGCGTTGTGGGTTAAACCACAGAGCCTAGGACTTGCTGATCAGAAGGTCAACAGTTCGAATCCCTGCAACGGGGTGAGCTCCCATTGCTCGGTCCCTGCTCCTGCCAACCTAGCAGTTCAAAAGCATGTCAAAAGTGCAAGTAGATAAATAGGTACCGCTCCAGCGGGAAGGTAAACGGCGTTTCCGTGCACTGCTCTGGTTCGCCAGAAGCTGTACACTGGCTCCCTCGGCCAATAAAGCGAGATGAGCACAGCAACCCCAGAGTCGGCCACGACTGGACCTAATGGTCAGGGGTCCCTTTACCTTTACCTTTTTACCCCTTAAACAGAATGTGTTCTTGTACATTATTTTCAGTAATGTACACGTGCATTGTTTCCTAGCAGAAGCTTTTCTACACAGATCTTGGGTTGAAGAAATGTACTGGGAAATTCATAGGTTTATGAATTCTGAAGATTTATGAATTTCAAAGACCTGTGCTCTGATTGCACAAGTTAAAATGTGTGAATTGCACAAGTTAAAATGCAGAGTGAACGCATTCCTAACCCATTCTTAGCGGCAGTCAGGTCTTGAGACATATGCAGACTGCCATACTGCAGCTAGATCACACAAAATAATAGCAATCTGGATTTCTCCTATAGATTCATGAAGGTAGCTCCTTACCTCAACATGAAGTATATGAGGAGGCGATGCTTAATAAGGCAGTGGGCATCACAAGTAATTAGTTCTGATGATACAAAACATAGAAATACAGGATGGCAGAGCAAGTAGCTTATGTGTTTATGGATCAGCCTAGACAAAGACAGACGGCGTCAAGGGGGAAAGTGAGAACTAATTTCAGAAACTGCAAGAATGCAGACTCGAGCAGGTTTCTTTCAAGGGCTTCTGTTGGAGGGATGTAGGTTGTCCATGGTGTCACTAGTTTTCCCTCCGCAGTGACTTCTTTCAAGTAAGAGCACAGGGCTCCTGGACCATTCAGTATTCACCTCAAGCTAGACAGATGGACCTCACATAGTTGTGGAACAATCCACCCTGTGACCCCAGCTCTGAGTAGTGGAGGACAGGGATATTCACAATGACCCTTGGTAAAGGTAAAAAAAAAAAAAAGGTAAAGGACCCCTGGGTGGTTAAATTCAGTCAAAGGCAATTATGGTGTGCGGTGCTCATCTCGCTTCAAGTCAAGGGAGCCGGCGTTTGTCCACAGACAGCTTTTTGGTCATGTGGCCAGCATGACTAAACCGCTTCTGGTGCAACAGAACACTGTGACGAGTGCCAGAGCACACGGAAATGCTATTTACCTTCCTGCCATAGTGGTACCTATTTATCTACTTGCACTGATGTGCTTTCGAACTGCTAGGTTGGCAGGAACTGGTGCTCACCCCATCACACGGATTCTAACCCATATCAAGCCTCTAACTAGAAGGTCCATCCCTGCATTAGCCATTCATGATATGTTGCTTGTGGCAAAGCTCTCATATTAAAAAAACAAGAGGGGCTGTCAATTATAATTTTTTAATCTGCAGTTGTAATTTATGCTGATGATGGTTGTTAAGCAGTGTGTGTTGTGTTTCAATATGTCTAACTGCGATAGCTAGCTCAGTCAGTAGAGCATGAGACTCTTAATCTTAAGGTTGTGGGTTCGAGATTAGACTAGATGGGGTTGAACTAGATGACCCTCGTGGTCCCTTCCAACTCTGCAATTCTCTGATTCTAAGTCTATCCAGACTCAACTGTTTATGCACCAGCATGATACATTTTGGACTTGTGACATGTCTTGTCTGCCAAGGGTTTGACCTAGCCACAAAGCGCTGGTCATTATGGACTCCCTGTAAAACTGTGTGCGATGGAGAAGATCTCTATAGCAAAGCAGGCTGCTTTTGCTCCAAGTCTGACAGAAGTTCTTTTGGAATACAAATAGGTCCATCAATTCTGAGATGTCTACCCAGGTGCAAAAGCTGGAGCCTTGAGCTCATGCTCGGAAGAGTTTTCCACAGCCTAATATCTGTATGCTTTTGCCATTGTATACTGCTGCTTTTATGCCATCTGTCGCACTTATTTACAGTTGGAACGCCTCTACTCTTACCTAGGAAATCTGTAGCAGAGCTGGCTGGCTGAACTAATGGGCTGCGCTGCTCACTGCTGGCAATTTGAGCTAAAACCCTGAATTGATGTATCAAGAAAACCACCCATCTCCATGAGAATTCATGTGCGGCAGGCTGTTCAGTTTCAGATATTCTTTTCATAAGCCGCAACATGCCATCATGCCTCTTATCTCCTGCTGACTTACTTCCATCAGCAGAATATTAATGGGGGGGGGGGAGGAATGAGAGCACTAACATCTCAGATATTTGCAAGCATTATTTGGGGGGGGGGCTTAACTCTGTCATCCTGGCAGGCTCTGCTGATATCAGGGGTGCTAACAGGCTCTAAAGCATGCTAATAAGATAGCAACCTTGTACCTTTCTTTAAAAAATATACGGTCATGGGACGTACTGCCATATGTCTCAGTGTTAGACATAGTTCTCCTGGCTTTTTCCAGCATCCACGTTTATTAGCAGCAACAAAGTTGGGCAAGGACAGGGCCAGGGTATGAATTGGGTGAGCAGGGCAGTGGGCAGGTAAGATGCTCCATGGTTTAAAGATATAGACGAGGGTTTCCCAAACTTGGGTCTGCAGCTTATTTTGGGCAACAACTCCCAACATCCCTAAATAGCCGGACAGTGGTCAGAGATGATGGGGATTGTAGTCCAAAACCAGCTGGAGACCCGAGTTTGGGAAACCCTGATATAAACAAACTGGGCCATGCCCAGAGAAGGGTGACAAATATGGTGAGGGAGCCTATAAAATCCTATGACGGGTGGCTAACCTATGGCCATCCAGATGTTGTTGGACTCCTATCAGCCCCATGGCCAATAGCCAGGGGTTTTGGGAGTTGTAGTCCAGCAATATCTGGAGGGCAACAGATTAGCCCTTCCTGTTTGGCAAAGAAGAAGAAGAGTTTGGATTTGATATCCCACTTTATCACTACCCGAAGGAGTCTCAAAGCGGCTAACATTCTCCTTTCCCTTCCTCCCCCACAACAAACACTCTGTGAGGTGAGTGGGGCTGAGAGACTTCAAAGTAGTGTGACTAGCCCAAGGTCACCCAGCAGCTGCATGTGGAGGAGTGGGGAAGCGAACCCGGTTCACCAGATTACGAGTCTACCGCTCTTAACCACTGCACCACACTGGCTGGAGGAGTTGGGTGATGGCATTGTTTCAAAGGCTGTGTGCCACCCCCAATCTCTGCTGAGTGGTAGCAAGATTCCAGGGTTTCCAGGCACTTGCCCAGGGTTGTGTTTCTGTTGTGAAATCAAAGCACAGCGGCAACTAGGGCCTTTAAGAAATATGGCTTGTTGTACACATATATACACCTGGGTCTACTTTGGTGAGAGTTCAGAGCGTTACGTTTCAATAGGGGATTGTTCCCCACCGCTGTGCAGCATTGGATTCCAAGGCATCTCATCTGCCTCTTTCCATATGAACCTACCCAGACCCTGAGATCATCTTCTGAGGCCCTTCTTCGTGTGCCTCCTCCTCAAGAGGTCCGGAGGATGGCAACACGAGAGCGGGCCTTCTCTGCAGTGGCTCCCCATCTGTGGAATGCTCTCCCCAGGGAAGGTCGACTGGCGCCTTCATTATACACCTTTAGGTGCCAGGCAAAAGCATTCCTTTTTAACCAGGCTTTTGGTTGATCCGATTTACATCCTATGCCCTTTTAAAATGTGTTTTTTTTTGAGGGGGGGCTATTGGGTTTTTGTCTTTATTTTTATTAGGTATTTTGTGGTTTTATATCTTGATTTTATTCTGTGAACCATCCTGAGACCTCTGGGTATAGGGCAGTATATAAATTCAATAAATCATCATCATCATCATCCTGCACGTCATCTCTGGGCTTTTGTCCCAGCCTGGCAAGATGTTCTGGCCTTCTCAGCCACTCATGAAGTTCTGTCCTTTTCCTTTCTTCTTCTCAAGAACGCCTGCCCTGAGCAACTCCTCCCCATCTGTCTGCTTACCCCCTTATCCAGACCTCTGTTGTTGTTGTTTTTTAAAGACAACATTTTTTTCCTGTGTGACATCATGCCCCTCTCACCCTGGCAACCTCATCCCCTCACCAGCCTGGCTGATGGTTTCCACTGATGCCTTAATGACTTGCTTCCAAGCTCCTCCTGTCATTCTTAATGACTTTTATCTCAGGTGAAGCCCTGGCACCTTCCCTTCTATACCCCAAATATTATCTAAATTCTACCATTTATCAATTTCTAACATTCACTCATTCTAGCAGTTAAGGGTGCCCTTGCACTCCCGCATCCTGTTACTTCACATCTGCAATAATATGGTCATATTATTTATTGGCTGTTTGAAGGGCTGTCTGATAGGCAATGGAGCAAATTGTTGCTTTTGAGGGTATGACCCAAATCAATTGGATCATATTATAGGAGAAAGGATATGGCCAAACACCAGAAAGAACCACCTGATACCATAAGCAGTTAGACAGTGGAACCGGCAGCCTCAAAAAGTGCAGAATTGTTCTTTGTTAAGAGGTTTGTAAACTGGGGCTGGCTGACACCTTTCTGGGATGCTGTAGGAGAGGATCTCCTATATTAGCAGGTCACTATCAGCTTATAGAGCCAGCGTGGTGTAGTGGATAAGAGCGGTAGACTTGTAATCTGGGGAACCAGGTTCGCTTCCCCGCTCCTCTACATGCAGCTGCTGGGTGACCTTGGGCTAGTCACAAGTCTCTCAGCCCCACTCACCTCACAGAGTGTTTGTAGTGAGGGAGGAAGGGAAAGGAGAATGTTAGCCGCTTTGAGACTCCTATGTTAGTTTGTTTGGCGAGCTCCGGCCCATCTGGAGCTGACACTACGGCTCATCTTGCTTTGAGCCCAGCAGAGCAGAATTCCAGTCCGCAGAACGAAAGGATAAGCAGGTATTGTGCTACATGCTAACTTTTATTTACACTCTATGCTGAGAGAATACAAACATCCATCCTGCCTCTGTGAGAGCAGAGAAGCAACTGCCGTCTCTAACAAAGAAACGGACAGAACACTGAAAAACAAGAAACCAGTGTACGTCACATCCAGTCTCCCATCCCCGTGGGAACCCAACAGTAACTTGGACTGTGGAATGCAAAACAATGTCTTGTGACATGCATTCGCTGCTCAGTGAGGAAGCAGAAACCAACATCCTACGGGTAGTGATAAAGTGGGATATCAAATCCAAACTCTTCTTCTTTTCTTCAGATTATTTGATTCTATGCACAATATGAAGACCCAAATGTGCCCGGTTACCTTCCTCTGGACTTCAAATTCAAGCTACTGCCGCAGATGGCTGAATGAGTTCCAGAGGGCAAACACAAGCAACATGGGAAGCAATGGGTGTGGTTCAACCCACAGAGAAAAGCTGAGCTTGAATGCTGAGGTCAGAAACATAGGTTGTCTTGCCTCTACTATCTGGAGGATGTGGCATGAACAGGACCACCTACTTTGTAAGTGGTTCTAATATATTGAGGGAGAAAGTTGTTTTGAGGGCTCCTTAAACTCTCTCTCTGGACCATCCATCAGTGAAGTTTCACAGCCTGAGCACCAATTATAGCATCTAGCTCAGTCTGTACCAGTAAATTTCATAACCCAAGCCCTTTAACCTGCAGCCTTAGGGGAGCTGAAATGATTTTCTGTGTACAAGGAATAATATTTGGCCACTAAAAGCAAATAATCCAGAGGGAACATTCGTCATACACAGCCTTGTTGAGTTTCCACAGCTGAAATTCAGTCCTCCCTTTCGATCCCAAAATCAATTAAAACACTGAATAAAAAGGAGACTTTCCTGGCGTATATTTTAATGTAGTGGTGGAAAGGTTATTAGACTATTAAGAAAGAAATATTTTGAAGAGTTTCCTTATGTGCAAATCAGTGTTATTCTTCATTTTTAGTACATGTACGTATTATGCAGTGTTGCATTCAGTGGTATGGCTGGTGCTATTTGATGAATTTTTGAACTTACAGTTTGTGGAAACAAGAAGAGTGAAAGGCTGCTGTCTCTGAAGGAATCACATCTTTTGTAATATGGAAAGCAATCAAATGCAATGTGACTGTGGCCTTCCATTTTTTTCAGAACAGCAATCCTAAACAGACATCTGAAGGCAGCCCTGTATAAGGAAGCTTTTTTTAAAAGTGTTTAATGTTTTATTGTGCTTTTATATATGTTGGAAGCTGCCCAGAGTGGCTGGGGCAACCTAGTCAAATGGGCGGGGTATACATAATTAATAATAATAATAATAATAATAATAATAATAATAATAATAGTAATAGATGTCCCTATTCTCATCGGAGAAATTTTGGAGGGTATGAGTGTAGATTCTTAAGGACTGGTGTTATATAGTCCTATAGTCCTGGCAGCCACTCCCAGGCACACGTCTAGCTGCCGCATTCTGGATTAGTTGTAGTTTCCGGGTCACCTCCAAAGGTAGCCCCATGTAGAGTACATAGTAGTATATAAATTTATATATATATATATATATATATATATAAATAAGATGATGTAATATAAGTTGGTAGAAGGGGACTGCTTTGCTCAAGGGGCATAGCAGCAAAAGATCAAGAATGAATGTGACTACACAGAGGAAAACACCATCAGAAAACTACTCCA